AAATCATAGGTACAAAGCAGGAGGTGGGATGGATACTGTCCTAAAAGAATAATTTACCCACAGCATATCTTCAAGTCAACAAGCTTACTTATTCTGCGAACAAGAAACAATAAAAAATACTTATTGAAGAAGAAGTTGAATAAAATGCTATTATCTTTTGGTGTCAAAAGCAATGCTGCTAGGCTTGGTGTTTATAGCCTTGGGTAAGTAGAGAAAATCAAGGCAAACCACTGGCAGAATCCATGCCGTTTGACACTATCACTAATCCACTGGCCAAAAACATTAACAATGCGTCTCCAAGGGGAATGAAATGTAGTGGTGTGCGTAACCCTGAGCAGTTGTGTTTTTGCTTTGGGCTTTAAACACCACCAAATTTGACTCTAAGGAGTTTACACTATCACTAAAGCATATAAAGGAAAATGCTTTGTGCATGTGATCATACATGATACACCCAACTCCTATTCGCCTTTTGAAATCAAATGTTGGGCGCTCATGAACCAACAGAAAAAAGGTAAAATCATCCCACCAATTTCCATAATAAAAACAAAAACAAAATTCTTAAAGAGTAAACCAAACTGTTAATCTAATGAGAGCTGTTAAAACTTGCTTAAATAGTTTTGAAAAGCTTCCGTGTTATTAGTAAAGGATCCAAGTTTGTTACCTAACCATCTTTATCTTAATCCTAATTTAACAAGTTGTTAGCTGAGAATCCTCATCCTTAGTTGTTTTGTTGACTCTTGATCTAGTTTTTTTTTTTTGGAAAACATTGAAGATGAATCTTATAAATAGCTATAGTTTATAAAATAAATATATAGAACGAAAAAATAATAAATTTTATATGCTTTTCTTTGTATAAATTCACATATCATATTATTAATTTTATGACTTCAACATTAGGTCTTTCATTTGAATTTAAACTGTGAATTTATATGTTGTATATCAAAACGTTGTTTTTAGGAGAGTGAATCCATCATATTAATCGGGCCATCATATTCATCAGGTCAACATTTTTTGTTACATTATTTTATATATATATATATAGGGTAAATAAAGGAGAGCTACTTCAGCTCAGTTACTCAAGGATTCATCTTCAAGAAGCAAGCTTGATACGGCTGGTGGTGGACTAGGAAGGCAGTGGATCTCAAAGTCTGCTGGAGTTGTGTACTTGGACACTATTATATTAATTTCAGTTTATTTAACTTTCTAGTTTAAATTAATTTTTATGATCAAATCAATTTAATGATGTATAAATTTATCATATTTGAATATGTTTATATGTCACATTTCAAGAATAGGGTTAACGCTTGTCGATGTAGACAATCTGTCATTACTGGGAATGAAGAAGAAAATTTATATCCATTCTGCAAAGCGGATCTGCCAGAACCATTGCCATGTTACTTTATGATGCTATGGAGAGTTGTTTTAGACCAAATTATCTAAATCTTAAAACTTTGCAGAAACTGAATTATCCTACTCAAATACCAAATCTTCTTTCCAGTATGAAAAACTAAAAAAAAAAGTTGAACTTTGCTGTAAAGTCCGAGGTGGACTTTGGATTGTTTGTTGAAGACCACAATTTCTGTTTTTTTCCCCCAATTAGATCATCAGATTATGAGAATTAAACATTGAAGATGTGGGTTTTTCCTTTAGAGTTATGAGACTGAAGATACAGTGAAAAACAGCAGTTCATTGGATTCCTCGAGACCCGTATCTTTTGGGTCCTCAGAACTTAAAAGCTTCGGCTAACAATGGTGTTCTCTGGACCAATGTAAAAGTAACATATCCGAGTTTACCTTGATTGTATAGCCTTTTGTTTTGTTTCAGTTGTTTTCTCCTCTATGAAATTTACCAGAAAATGGCTTATTGCAACATTGAATCTCTCCGTTATCCTATACCATAAAATACAATGGTTTTTTAGGAATAATATCAAAATTAGCCTCCCAACATTTATTTTAATGGTCATTTTGTCTTTTGTTCTTTTTTTTAACACTTTAACCCTTAATGTTTTAATTATTGATGAAAAAAGTCCCTACTAGATGAAAATTATTACTTTATTAATGAACATCACATATCAATGACGTGATATTTTCACATTTACTAAATTGATTACTTGACATATGACATGTTACATAAGGTTATGATGTGATTTATGTCACCTCACTTAATATGATGATGTAGCATATAAGATGTTATCCAAAGTGATGATATATTTTGTAATACATACACAATTTAACACAAAAATATTACGTCAATAATATACGTTGATCATTAGTCAAATACCAGTTTTCATCCGACATAGGCTATTTTAACCAACAAAATTAAAACATTAAGAGTTAAATATTCCAGAAAAAGAATAAAATAAATGTTAAAGGTTAAATTTTACATTATGTTTTTATTTTTACCAGGGTCACTTGCAAGTTGCTAGGGTAGTAAGTTAAAAGTGAATACTCTTTTTACAGCTCAGGTTTTTTGGGGATTGGGGTTGTGATCTTGAGCCTGATTTGATTATTTTTTCCACTACACGTCTTCAATAATGGAGACTGGAGAGTGCTGCTTGGCTCTTTTTCCTTCACAATGAGGTCTCCGAGTGTTAAAACAGCAGCAGGCAGCACTCAATAATTGCAACAAAACAATTGATGCCGGCATGACTTTTTGTAATGTCAGCACACACTGAACATTACTGCTCCTGGATCAGAGATATCAGATGGAGGACATATTTGATTAAAAATGTCGAATAGATTCCTTTTCTGAAAATATTGCTGTAGATTTCAGATTCCAGCATGAGATTGATATTATCATAATTTTCTGACCAATGGGTGCCCTTGTATCATAGAGCTAACCGGTGGTTTTATTGTCTACACTCCATGTCACATAATAACAGTGTTAAGATTAAGTAAAGACTATTGAACCCCGTTTTAATTGATTGCAGTCAAAAGGGTCTTGTGTCCATGACAATTGACAATAGCATTACATTTGGGAGCTTAATTGGTGTTTCCAGCATCTTGGAACTGTCTAAAAGATCTGTAAGAGGGAAGAAAGCTGAAGAAAGAAAACCAGATCAACAAAACAACAAGGGGTCGAAAGTTTGTCTATTTTCGTTATGCTTGAGGGATAGTGTTGATATTGAGAGTGATAACACGATCGATGTACCGTCGTCACTCGGTCACTTCCTCGCTGTGGAAAGAAGAGCTGGTAGTGAATATAGAAGGAACCACAATCCTTATCAGGTCCAAAACCCTAAAGCATCTATGTGAACAGAATGGTACAAAGTATGCCCTTAGTCCCGAGGTTGTGGTCTCATATTTTCTGATGTTTCAACAAAGGACTAATCTCTTTTTACATTGTGGTGTTCTTTGAATCAAATAGTAGTTCAATTTAGTATTTTCAGCATTTTTCTTTTCAGAAATATGAAAGATTTCAACGTTGACGTCCCCAAGTTATTTAAAATTAAAAAGAATTGCTAGAAAACGTGTCGGTGAATTTCTTTTTTTTAATCTTTCCAAACGTATGAAGATTTAAAACTAAAAAGGCAGACCAACGTATGAAGGTTTGGCTTTTATTTTCAGATGCTTTTACGCGTGATTTCATCATGTTTTATTGGCTGCATCTGTATTCCACCTGTTAATTTTTTTTAATTAAAATTTGATTACTTTCGGGTAGATATTTTCCCTGTACAAAACGAAACCCTGTGCTTTGATGGGAAAAAATATCTAGTGGTGGTTCATATTTGACTGCTACTCCCAAGTACTTGGTCTATTAATGACCTGTAGTGTAACAAGGTTGACATGATCATGCTACAAACAATACTCAAAAACATTACCAAGTTTACACTCTTTTCTCATCAAGCTATTGAGTGAGGTGGTAATGCTCTCATCTTTCCTACAACTTTAAACTTCCAACAACACATTTATTATGAGAGGTTGACAAAGTTTAATGTTGTTTGAGGATGCCATTTTAAAAAATCATTGTTTTCTTATCTCAAAAGGTCAAAAATAAAAAATATATAAAAGTTTAAAATTTCAGGAGTTAAATAACTATGAATATTTATTTCTTTTGTTTATTAATATAATTTTTTAATTTTGAGTGGATTTTATGAAAAAACAATCCTATAAAAAATTGTTTATTAATATAATTTTTTAATTTGGAGTAGATTTTATGAAATCATAGAAAAAAAATAAGGATGCATTTCGATATTGATCTTGTTATAAAAGACGACTGGTGAAAGCTACGATTAGTTGTTGATGACAATTAGAACAATGTAGTGTCAAAAATTTAGTAACAAAATTGATATACCTCTAAAGTTTAGTATCTAAAATGATATCGTTTTAAACGATTTTATTTTGTGAATATCATCACATCATTTGAATGTTAACGACCAAATACCATAATTCAAGTCAAAAGCAAAGAAAAATCATTATTTGAAATCTTACTCTATCTTAAAATTGCAATCAGAAGAAACGAGACATGAAATGATGGAAACATTAAAAACCAACATCCAAACATGATTTCATCACTTCCACTTTATTCAAAGAAAAATCTTCATACTTGATACATAAATACTTGGGAATCGAACAATATATAATTACAGTCAAATGATCAACACTCTCCTATTTTTAGGACTGGAACTTTGGTGGGGACAAGAGTCCTTGGATCTGACTCTTTCCATGGGTTGAGGATGCCATTTTAAAAAATCATGTTTTCTTATCTCAAAAGGTAAAAATAAAAATATATTAAATATATAAAAGTTTAAAATTTCAGGAGTTAAATAACTATGAATATTTTTTCTTTGTTTATTAATATAATTTTTTAATTGAGTGGATTTATGAAAAAAACAATCCTATAAAAAATTGTTTATTAATATAATTTTTTAATTTGGAGTAGATTTATGAAATCATAGAAAAAAAAATAGAGATGCATTTCGATATTGATTGTTATAAAGACGGCTGGTGAAAGCTACGAGTAGTTGTTGATGACAATTAGAACAATATAATGTCAAAAATTTAGTAACAAAATAATATACCTCTAAGTTTAGTATCTAAAATGATTTTTCTCAGCTTCGGGGAACTGATGTCCATCTCGTGATCGGCATCGTCGCAATCTTTTATCTTAGCTACCACCAACCGGACAATGGTGCTCCGGCAAAAGGGGCATAACGGGGGTGTTACATGTGCGGTTGTGGGGTTTGGCTTGTTGTGGCAGCAAAGGGCCAGTGTGCATTGTGCACACATTTGATGGCCACAGTCCTGAAATTCAATCGTGCAGATCTGTTCAAAGCATATGCAGCATACTTCGGCATCGCTAGCCTACATCGAAAGAGTTCCCCAGTGAATATATAAGATCCATTATAGCCAACTGCAAATTGTTGTAAATAGTTCATGTAATAAAAGAAAAACATGGTCCACAACTTATTCATAATAACCCTAGCAACCAACAGCTAAACAGTAGGGTCAATGCAAAAATGGGGATTATGCCAACTTAAATATAGGTTTCATAGTACGCTAGAGTAAAAAAGAATTTATCCGTATACCGCTAGATCACTAAACAATTTCGTCCTGGACCACTAACGAAACCAAGATAGCCAAGGACAAATCTATGCTTTCAAACACAACAAGTTTAATGGGATAGATATCAAGAAATGACAAAATGGTTTTCATTCAAGAGTTAAAGAAACCAACTTTGAACAAAAATTTAGTTAAGTAAAAATAGAAATCGAATGCATGGTTTTGGTTCCAGAGTTCTACCTCAGATATAGTGTCATCTAACCCCGAATCAGAGTGCACGGGTGAAGGTGATGGAAGTGCATAACTTGTTCCTTTCAAGATGTTCTTTTCCCTTTCCCTGTTTGCCTCCATTAAGGCCTGTTCTAATAGTGATTTTGCCTCATCGTTGAGCTCACTAATGAACTTCAAAGGTGCTGGCCAAACAAGAGGTTCGGCTGATGAAGGATTTAACAGAGCGGCACATGCTCTATGTTTGTACTTAAGAGCAACTACATATGGTATTCTCCTGTAACATACAAACATAACAACAGCAAGTCTTAACAAAAATAATCAAAATCAAATGAAATATATATAGTGGCACAGATCCATTCGTCGAAATAATTAGACATGCATCATATCATTATCACATATGGTAAGAGAAAAAGAAAGGAAAAAGCATCAAGGCCAAGGAATAGATTCCCACCACTTTACATCAGACTATGTAAGACAAAAAGATTGACTAGAATATAAATGAGACTAAATCAGGAATCTCTCAAAACAATCAAATAAAAACTTGAAGAACAAAAGATTTGCAATAAGATGATAATTTAGAAATCCATATAATCATTAGTTAATTAAACTATACCCAGATGCATCTCTTTGAAGACGATCGGCACCCCAGGCCAACAACTTACGGATACAATCGAGAGATCCACCTCTAGCAGCCAAATGAAGAGAAGTGCTTCCTGGAAAACTGAAAAACAAAACAAATTCAATCACTATATTCATTTGTAAAAGATTAACACACAGACACACACACACACACACACAAAAAAAAACAATTATAAGGAACGGCTTTTGGGAAAAAAAATTATTACCCATATCCACCAGTTGAAGCACAAACAAGAGCACCATTGTCTAACAGGATATGAACGCATTCAGGCCGTCTTTGACGGGATGCTAAGTGCAAGGGAGTGGCTCCCCTAGCATCTCTTATATTCACAAACCGTGCATATCCCCTGATATTATACCCGATCCAGAAAATATATATAAGATCAATAAAAACTGAGATCAATCATCCAATTAATCAAAAATAGATTACGCGATATGATGCCAACCATGAAACGGCAACATGGCTCGATTGAGCAGCAGAGAGGATGGCTTGAAGGCAGTCAAAGTGACCATAATAGGCTGCATAGTGCAAGCAAGTCCTTCCATGGAGGGAGTCAAACATTAAGATCTGAAAAAGCATATATCAGATCATTCAAAATTATATTTTCAACACACAAAAAAAGATTAAAGTGCAACTCCTGAGAATTTAAAAAAGAAAAGAAAAATGCCTCACATTGGCACCAGCTTCAATGAGCTTCTTCACACAGGAGATCTTCCCATGCATTGCAGCCAACATAAGTGGAGTCTGAAAACATTGAAAAGGAAACACAAAAACTAAATAAAGATAATCTATAACCAAATAGAACTCAAAAGTTTCAAAAATGAATTACCTGCTTGTGACGATTCACAACATCCGGGTTCGAGGATTTTTCCAAAAGGATACCCAAAATCTACCAACGAATAAAGAGCACACATTTTCAAATCAATGAATTGAAACCAAATATAGATATAGAAAGCTAAAAAGAGCCTAACATAATCCCAAAAAAGTAATCTTCAGACACCTGCAAATGAACTACACAGTACCCACCTCGATCTGGCCATTAGCAGTAGCTATATGAAGCGCGGAAAGGCGATCATAAACGGTTGTATGATATAGAAGACTGGGTTCTCTCTTTAACAAAGCTTCCACGGTTTCAATATCTCCAACTTTAACTGCACCATAGAACTCATTCTCTTGATTCGCCCCACAACTCAGCCCCTGACCCATCTTTCAATAGAAAAAAACGAGAGTTCACAGCTACTACTAGCTTTCACCACCCGTCGTCGGCGAGGCCCTCCGGTGGCGGTTGGTGGTGTGTGGTGGTGGCCTGGCCTCGTTTAATTTTGGCAAAAGTTCACATTTAAGTAGTTGTTCAAAAGCGAGTGAAGAGAGAAAAATAAATAAACATTTTTTTATTTAATAGTATTATTTAGTTTTTTTAACTTATTGGAGTTTGTATCTGCCCGAGGAGAGAAGTGGGAGCTGCCCGTCACGATTACAAGAACAAAGCTACGGGCAGTTGTCAGATATTTGTTTTGGGGGGAAGATATCAGCCGTCAATTACTTCCTTTGTTGAAAATTATCCGTACGATTGGGAAGTGTAAAATTATGAGGGTAAATTGTTTTTTTAACAAGGCTAGGTTATTAAAATATAGGATAAAATATGTATTTAGTCATATAATTATCACTTTGGTTATGTATTGGCATTTAATTATTTTTAAAAAAAAATTATATCTAAAATTATATTTTAATTCTATTTCGGTCACTTTCTATTAAAAATTAAAACTAATACTATCGTATCATTATAAAGTATCCCTCCAACATAATAACATAAAAAACATTTTATCTTTAGTATTTAGACGGCTTAAACATAAAAAACATTGAAATGTCCAGCCATTGCAATTGCAGCGTGTCAACTGGAGCTAAGGTGGTTTTGACTAAGAGCTCTTGTCGTTTTTCCCACGGTGCTAATTATTTTATTAAAAAATTAAATGGCTTAATTTTAATTTTTTGGGCTGAGGAGACCGACTTTACCCTGTGAATTAGGAGTTTACTATTAAAATATTTTTTATTATTAATAAATATAATATTATCAAGATTTAAATGATATTTATTTTAATCAGGTATCATAAAAATATGTCTCAATAAAAATGTATATTAAAATATAATTTTTTGTATAAAGGTTGATAACCAAGTCAATAAATATGTTGATTGATGTAAAAATATAAAACACTACATACATTTTTACATGACGATAGCATACATATTATAAAATATTATAAGCACCGAAAGAATTATAATGAAAAGTACAAAATAGTGAAAATGCTATAAATTTGGTTTAAAATCTGTAATTAGAATAGATGAAATAATTTATTTATTTTTTTGAGATTTTGAAAAATATCACTAATTTTATTTAAAATAGAAAATATACTTAATTATAATAAACATTTATAATCATAATCGTAAATTAAACATATAATTAAGATAATTTCTTATAATCATTGAAACAAAACTAGTAATTTAAAGATCACATAAGGACCATACAATGAAATATTAAACTCTAACCAAGAAAACTCAAACAAAGATAGATACAAATATATATGATCGCATCGGCAAAAAGAGATCAAACTATGGAAAACCATCGATAAATTGTAAATCATAATCGAGCGACGTGAAAAACTATTTACGAACTCATAACGGGTGTCCAAATCCAATCTAAGGATTCAAAGCAGGGAATATCAACAGTATATCAAAAAAAGACGAGGATTTACTAACAAAAGAAAACTAATAGATGAAATAATTAAATAAATAAAAAGATGAGTATTTTGATGATTGCATAGTTTAAGCATTGTCTTGGGGGGAAATAGTTATAGTATAAAGAAAACATTCGATGGAGGGATTAATTTTCTTATGTTTGAACATTCAATTGTTTTTCCTTTGGAACCACTTTTTTGAACGTTTCATATAAAAAGAGTTGACGTGTAGGATATCAATGTCGTAAGTAACATAATTGGTGTAGCTTTTATGATTTTTAGTTAAATTAACCATTAATTCTTTTCAAATCTCCATTCTCCTTTACCTAAAATTTGCTAATGTCAATCTGTATTCAATGATGACATTATTTTTTGATATTCTTTTTTCGCTAATATCTTTTTATTTATCTTTGTCTTTGTAATTAGTGACGACACTAATTTTAATATTGATTGTTGACTGTCAGTATTCATTGTTTATATTATATTATATTACATATTTATTTTTTTAATTTTTAATAACTATATCTTTATTTCACGTTTTTTTATATATTATTGCACATTTTCTTCTTGTCTTTTGGTTAGTTTTTTATCGTTTGGTGGTTATTTTTATTTATTCTTTTCTCAATATTAGATTTGACATCGTCATAATTTATCAAAATGACACTTATAATTTATTTGTTGTCATGCTGATTTTCCATACTTTGGACACTCATATTGGATTTGGATACATAATTTGTTTCATAGATAGCTTTTTCACGTCGCTCGATTCTAGTTTACGATTATCTATGGTCTTTCAAAGCTTGATCCCTTTTTGTGGTTCATTTGTCGATGCAATCATATATTTGTATCTACCTTTTGTTCGAGTTTATTTGGTTAGATTTTTAACATTTTCATTGTATGGTTTTTATGTAATCTTGAGTAGCTAGTTTTTTATGTTAATGATTATAAAAAAAAATCCTAATTATGTGTTTAGTTTACAGTTGTGGTTGTAATCATATAATATATTTAAATATATTTTTTATTTTTAGTAAACTAACTACTTCTATCAAAAGAAAATAATGGTAATGTCAAAGCTAAAGCAAAGTATTAAAGCATTCGTTACAATTTAAAGATAAATTAAGAATTTATATTTTTAAAATAATTGTGTTAACTTATATATCGTAAAATAATATTTAAATAATTTTCAATCCATATAATTAATAGAATTGAGGATAAAAATCTAAATTACCAGACACGTTCCAATTTTAATTTAGCATTGTTTTTTCATCATAGTAACCTTGATCATGAAGAGTAAATTAACATTTAATTAAGAACAATGACAATCGATCTTGTATCATTGTGTATGCTCTTCAACATCTCATCCATCTATATAAACATTTATTAAAAAACTTAATTTTTCTAACCAAATTTTAACTATGTTGGTATGATTTGTTATTATAACATTTAAGAGGATATAGGTTTGAGTATATTTAAACATACAATATCTTTCGATTTAAAGATAAAGAATGAATTGGATAATCATTTATTCAATACTAATTTAAATAATATTATATATAAATTTATATCTAACATGAAATATATATAAAATATGATGATCAAAATATAATTTAATTCACATATTTTGAATATAATTTATATCATATCTCGGGTAACATTTAAAGCTCAAACTAATAATCATATTAATAAAAAAAATCTGATTTATGTAATATTTAGTATTTTAGTAATTCAATTAATATATTTTGAAGTTTGAGGATGGATCAAATATCTGATCGAGAACTTTTGAGGACTTCTATAAAATTAAGTATTAAAAAAGGTACCGTGGTCCTAGTTTTTCCAAAAAGATTTTGTGTGGGTTTAAAGATATCTGCGTGCATGGAAATTGGAGTATGATGAAGTATGGCATCATATGCACATGTTTTCACGACAAAAACGATAAGAAAAACGAGACAATAGGATTGCAAATTACAAGGTGAAAGAGCATGTAATAATTAAGGAACAATAATGAAAGTTTAATTCCCTGGCATAACAATATATATATATATATATTATATGTATCAATATACATTTAATAGTTAAAAGTTTCTATATCAAATAAATTGTTAGAAAATTTTTATTTACTCAAAACTTAACATTCAAATTAATTCTACACTAGTATAAATAAATAACATTATATATCTATTAATAAAAAAATAACATTATGTACTACAGCTGAAGAAACTAATACCAGTAGTAATTTTGTGAGTAATATATGGCTTTCTTTTTAATTACCACTAGTAATCTTGTGGAATTGTGGGTCAAATATTTTTTCCTTTACTATTTAGAGGTCGGACCTCAAATTACCTAATCCCAGTAGAATTTCTCTGGGTTCAAAACAGAATTTTGTTTTAGATTGAATAAAGAAACTATTTTTTTCTTTGTATTTAATAATTATCTAGAACCGGTGATGTAAGTTCGGTCTCCACGACTGTATTCAATTATTATTATTATTTTTCAATTCACAAGTTGATAAAATCCCAACTCAATAGTTGAATCTGTGACCTATTCAAATATAAACTATTTTACTTTTGTCAAATTCGGGTTTTGGTTTCTTTACCGTGTTCAAATTTTGCATACTTGGTTTTTTACTCTTATAATTTTATTTACTACTTTAAATAATTAACGATGTTAATTATTTGAATAAAATATCGGCATAATATTTAAAAAATTTAACTTTTAATAACTAATTTATTTATTGATTAATTCACATGCGGACAATAGTATAATATATGATAATCTAAAGTTTGAAACCAGTTATTTCAATGGAAAACTACATCTGTTTTTCTTACCAGGTTTCATAAATATCTTGTTCATTATTATAAAATGAAAGCAACACTTTGATTGGAAATAAGTTCCTAATATTGCTTTGACTTCCATTTTCCACCTTAAAACCGAGTCATCATCATTGGGTCCATCACCTGAGCAACTGTACCAGTGATTGTTTAAGCTTCGATTAGACCACCTTAGGGGGAAAAATCAAGGGTTATTAATTATTATAAGCAAGTTTCAAAGAATGCAGGGGATCTTTAGGTTAAGATTCCACGTAACTGCTTGTTAATGGTTAACTCTTTCCGATTTCATTGGTGGATAATATGATGAAGTTATTAACAATAATAAAAAAGAAAGATGATTAGGGTTCAAAGTAGAATCTTTTACTGGAAAAGCATGCATGGGTTAGAAGTATATATGGCTTGCAAGAAAGTGGATGGGCCATGCCATTGCCGAAGGGGATCTTAGACGCAGACATCAATAGGATTCCGAATGAATAAGGAGTTTAATGGTTTGGTGTAGTTGTTGTTGTCATGCTAAATCATATGCTTAAGAAATTTGTTTCGTGCACGATTAAGCATCCTCTTGGCTGACATATATTTTATTAAGCTCTTGTTTTATTGCAGTGATATTAGCGTCTGGTTTTTGACTTCCGATATATTTTTTTGTCAAGCTTTCTAAGAAAAATGGTAGTTGTTCATTTTTACCAAAAACAACTTTACTTTGAAGAGACAGCAACGGAAATCAATGTTTATATGCCTCAGAATTCCAGTTTTCTTGCCACTCCGTAAAGAGGTGGTTGCAGGTTGCTGTTGTTAGAATGGAAAGCACTGC